GCCTACCTGCAGAAACTCCTCCTCCTACCAGAGGTCTGTCGCAGCCGCGATCTACGTGCGTTCCTCTCTCAGCGCGCCATCCTTCCCCGTAAGGAACACGCCCCCCATAATGAAGGGGAAACCAAAGACCTTGTTACACGCATCTACAACTCCGTTGCAGATGGCATGGATGACTTCCTCGGTAACTTTGGCGTACTAGACCAACTGTCTACCGCAGGCCAGAACCTCATCTCAGCGGCCACCCAGCAAGCCAGCAACACGACAGTCCCAGACTCCAGCCTCGCAACCGAAGATGCCGTCACAGCCGCCGAAGCCGAAGCGGAACTAAACGCCTTCGAAGACCGTGAACTCGAGCCATTCATCAAGCCCATCTGTGATCTCTTCCTCGAAGCGTTCGAGCTGAACCGCGGCAACAACTGGCTGCGCGGCCGTGCCGTCGTCGTCGTCCTGCACCAGCTCCTCGGCGGAACAATAGAGCGCAAGGTCCGCGACGGAGCGCGCGGCCTGACCCAGGATGACTCTCTTATCAAGTACCTTGCTCTCGCTCGGGATACCCTCTGGCCCGGCGGCGTACTCCGTAAAGCCCCACCTCGTTCGGCCGCAGACCGTCTCAATAGTCGTGCTGAGGCCACTGTGGTCTTGGCTACGCTCATCCCGGATCTGGCGGGTAATGTTGTCGGCAGAGCTAATGCACAGGCTGCAGCCCGTCGCATCTTTGCTACGCTGAATAACCAGCATCTTAATACCCATCTTGTTTTTACGATTCTTGACGAGATCGTCCTGGTTCTCTTTGGGAGTTCGGGTCGTTCTCGATGAGAAGTGAATCTTTATTCCTCCTCATTACAACCACTGTATATACTCGATTACATCCATCTCTACAATCTCTACCTAATTCCAAACATGCCCATCTAACACATCGAAAAATTCAAATAATCCCGCCAAGATAAAAAAAAAAAATAACCATCACGTGTACATGTGATGAGGCTCAATTGTGCCCAATCTGACCAGCCCCTAAAACCTCCCAGGCTGAATTTCAATAGCTCACATTCTTCTTTTTCTTCTTAACCTCAATGGCCCCTCCCCCAACTTCAGCCCAATCCCACGCCCTCTCCATCCCCGAAATCTTCGAACTAATCCTCCTCAACCTGGACACCCGTACCCTCCTCACAAAAGCAACCCGAATTTGCCACGCCTGGTCCCATTTCATCAACTCCTCCCCGCCAATTCAATGGGCCCTATTCTTCCGGCCCCTCGACAATGGCTTGAATAAAACAAAGACCCAGAATCCACTGCTAGCAGAAACCTTCCCGTCAATCTTTCACCGGTCCGGGTCTAGCAATGGGGGAAAGACCAATAAAAAGCACGATCCAGAATCCGACACAATAGACGACAAAATCAACTCCAACCTCACATTCACCACCCTCGACATGGTCCGGAACCCACATAAATGGGACGCATATATCAGACCAGAGGCTAGCTGGCGCCGTATGCTGGTCCAGCAACCGCCGGTGTATACGCTATCGTTGCTAAGGAGTAATGTCGGACATGGTGGACAGTATTTGTACATTTATGAGGCGTTGGTGAGTATCCAGGTCTATTTATTTTATTATAATAATATACATATAGTTATCTATGTATCTACATAATGATCTTTTGGTATTTGTTCACATACATTACACTCTTATATCATATGTTCCATTTCCCTGCAAGAAAGAACCATAGCTGACATTCATAATCACCCTAAAGGGCGACCGAAATGAACTAGCCGGTGGCCTGCGAATGGATATCGTTTTTGAAGCACTGGTCTTCGGCGATAGGTGGGATCAGGATGAGTACTCCGCGACGGAGATGGTTTGGGGATGGGAATTCCTCCCTCAACGGGTTCGTGGGGACCTGGAGCCTTTTGGTGTCCATGATCTGGATTTGGTGTTCTATACTCGCCTGGGAGAGACGTCCAGGGGTCGTGGTTATTATGTGACGAGTTTGGAATGTGATATTGTGAAGAAGGTTAAGGCAGCGTATACTAGACTGGGGATGAAGCCAAAATACTCCGATGAGGCTTTTTTGAGAGGGCGGAAGTCTTGGGGGTCGCTTTGGGATTAGAATCATGTCTTCTCATGAATCTATAGGATATGCCCATGTACAATATGATGTTGTGGATATCAAGGTAACTATAGCGTGGCTCAACATGTCCATTCGGACTTGAATGTCTCCTCGACTTGGTTTCTGACATAGTATCTTCCATATAACCTCTACATTGGAAATGGATAGCCGCGAATTACTTAATTTGATCTCCACTAGGCGTCAGAAGGAGTGAACGGCACATACCGGTCCACCCAGGGTAGATACATAAAAGCCGAGTCAGACAGAAATGACAGGAATAAGATAGGCAAGATAAAATCAAAATACGAGATCCCTCGCGCCCTCCTAATTCTTGTTTCTACATTGGAAACGCAGTGAACACAGAGCAGCCGAACGGGACGGTGGAAAGGCAGAGCACAAAATTGCTGAGGGGAGTCAATAGTCCCCGGTAAGAAAATCCATTATCATGATTGGTAAAGTGAAGGGATAAAAAGTAGAAGAGATTGAAGAGGTCATCCGGGGACAATTGTCTGTGTTCATGGCCATGTCATAAAACACCCGGGTTGATAGGCTGATGCCAATCTATGCCTCGTCCTTGGACTTCTTCTTGGACTTCTTGCTTGGCTGTGGTGCACCCTCCTTCTTCTGGTGCACGATCAGCCGGGTCCAGCACTCTTCCTTGTCCCACTCGAAGCCAGCGAGGTAGGGTTTGTCGAGTTCATCATCCGCCTAGCGGGGCCACGTCAGTCATCATGGACTCTCTTGTGCTCTATGCTGTAGAACCACTGACCTTCTTCTTGAACTGCTTGTAGATGGCATCTAATGCGTCCTTGATCGTGACGCCCTTGAGGTTCCGTGCGGTGACTTCTAGGCCCAGGGGGAAGTGTAGGTCAATCTTCTTGACGGGTGGAGTGATGAGGTGCATTTTGAGGATGTCTTTGTCCTCAATGGTGGAGGGGGAGGTGTTGAGTTTCCTGGACCGACATCAGTGAGATCGATGTATATGTAAGGAATTGAGATGAGATACTGACCAGCCAGTCTTCTGTGTTTCGATTGGTAGTTCAATGTCTATCTTTTGCTCTTCTGCAGTACCATCAGTATAGTTTCCTCCACTGAGATTTGATGATGTTCTTACCAAGGTCCTTGATGTTCCAGACACCTTCGACCGTTGAGGAGGCCCGCCTGTGAGTCTTGGCCTTGACCTCCTTCTGAATCTCGGGTTTCTCATCAGATATGGACAAGCCAGCGATGGCCGAGTCGACTTTGGTTAAAGGAACAGACATGGTTTGCAGAGTGTATCTGATCAAGTTAGAGATGGGGAAAGGATTCAAGATGAGATGGGGGAATATACTCTCAGATGAATCAGGAGATGAATGGAAGATCAGGAGATGGAAGAAGGGAAGAAGGAAAGAAGAGGGGAAGGCAGGTGACCAAGGTTGTGTGAGAGGGGGACCTGTGTCATGGATGTCATGTTACTTGGGTTTGGGGATGTTTGTCTCTTATAAACAAGGAAGTACCCTTTTTCTTCTATGTCCTTTTTAGTTTCACCATTCTCTATACATATATCTTTTTTTTAAATATTACCTATATAGCTTATATGAATGATTATAATTACTATCATCTTCATCTAGATAATATACAAATATATTCAGATAGTCATATAAATATCATACACAGTAACCGGCCTCCCCGGATTGAACTGACATCAACATTGTTCATCTCGGCCAATCTTAGTGCTGCACCCCGCATTTGGCTCCACTTTATTGACGGCAGATCACTCTTATATAGCCCTGATATAGCCTGGATAATAGACTATATTACTATATTAGGATATTAATATATTAATATATTACATATTACCTATGCCGTAGGTAGTATATTACTATATCGTATGACTGTCACCTGATCATATGTACTTAATTCCATCACACCACTCACTCACTACTCACTATAAAATTGACCACGTGAGGTCATTCCGTACAAGCATACCCAAACTCAATCCCATCCTTACCTACTTTGGAGGTAACCAGGGTTCTTACTCTGAATTAACATTTCCTTTATGGCGTAATTAACCACCATTATCTCATCACACGGATAATCCATGGTCTCAAATCTATTTTAATAACAAATGTCCTATGTATAATACCTCAGGATATTGGATAGACTGTATATCTACTTATCATCTACGCTCAACAATCCCTTGGGCCACAATATAAAGATATAACTCAATATTGGTTAACCTGAAGAGTCATATTGACAACTCACCCAGAAAATAAGTGGATATAATGGTGTCCGGCAAACGGTCACTTGTGACTCGGGATAAGCCTGTTGACATTCGTATAGACGGGCATGGCGATACCGAGAAAGCAAAGGTTGAATTGAGCCTTACCTTTTAATTAAAGCTCTCTGGACGCCTTAAACTGACCATTGAGTAAAGCTTCATCCAGTAAGATCATCTAACAAAAGGATTGCCAGACGGATAACTGCAGTCCGACAAGGCTGCCTTGATAGTCGTGACTCATGGTATTCATGCATAGCTACATGTCTATAGCTCTGTCAATAGAATTAGCATATAAATAAAAACCAATTATGTTCAAGTGGTTTCAATTTTAAAAAAATAAACGTTAGAAGAGAATTGGAGAAGAATAGAATAGTAGAAGAAGTGAAGGTCGAAGTATAAAATCCACAGAGACAAAGGCGGTGAGATATATTTTCTGCCGGCATCGCGCATCGCTTTCTGTCGAGCTACAATTATCATCGACCTCTCTCAGTCTCTTCCCTTCTCCACGGTCTCGACTTTCTTTCTTCTCTGCATGACTCCTAAGCTGTGAACTCAGCTCTGCTTTTGTTTTCGGCTCACATTCTTTCATCCCCTCCTCGATACCCTTTACCACATCACACCTCTCGCGCCCTTCCAAATGTCACTTTTCGGCGCCGGCGCGTCGTCGGCCTCGGCGGGTCAGACAAACACCACCGGCGACATTTCCAAGGACGTCGCCCTCAACACTCCTCCCGAGGATGGCATCTCGGATCTCCGCTTCTCGCCTACCAGCGAGCACCTAGCCGTCGCCTCGTGGGATAAGAAAGTCCGCATCTACGAAATCAACGACCAGGGACAAAGTGAAGGAAAGGCACTCTTCGAGCACGAAGCTCCAGTTCTGAACTGCTGCTGGTCTCCAGTAAGCTCACACTCCTTCTTACCAACCCCCCACATCTTCACCCCCAACAACCCAAGTCACCATGCACAGAAACTAACCTCATCTTTTTTTTTCTCTCTTATAGGATGGAACCAAGGTCGTCGGTGCTGGTGCCGATAAGGCAGCCCGCATGCTCGATCTCGGCTCAGGCACAACAACTCAAGTTGCTGCCCATGACGCCCCAATTCGAAGCTGCCATATGATCCCCAATCCCTCCGTGGGCGGAACCCCACTCCTGATCACCGGCTCGTGGGACAAGACAGTCAAATACTGGGATTTGCGCCAGTCGACCGCAATCGCCTCCGTCGAGTGCCAGGAGCGTGTCTACACCATGGACGTCAAGAACAAGCTTCTCGTTATCGGCACCGCTGACCGTTACATCAATATCATCAACCTCGACCAGCCAACAAAGTTCTACAAGACTATGCAATCACCCCTCAAGTGGCAGACGCGGGTAGTCAGCTGCTTTTCAGATGCCTCCGGCTTCGCGGTCGGCTCCGTCGAGGGTCGCTGTGCTATTCAGTACGTCGAGGAGAAGGATTCCGCCTCGAACTTCTCCTTCAAGTGCCACCGTGAAACCCCGCCCGCAAACCGCGATGTCTGCAATATCTACTCCGTTAACGCTATCTCTTTCCACCCCATCCACGGCACCTTCAGCACCGCAGGTGCGGACGGTACTTTCCACTTCTGGGACAAGGATGCCAAGCACCGTCTCAAGGGTTACCCCGCTGTCGGAGGCCCTATCACTACCACCGCTTTCAACCGTACTGGAAATATCTTCGCTTACTCTGTCAGCTACGACTGGAGCAAGGGTTACTCCGTCAATACCCAGCAGACTCCCAACAAGGTCATGCTGCACCCTATCGGACCTGAGGAGACAAAGCCCAGACCGAGCACGCGCAAGCGTTGATCTGGACCTGAGCCTTTCTTTCTTTTTTGCGTGGGATAGGGGGGGATTTTCTTTTTCGCCAATCGCTTTCGTGTCCCATCGCTACAACGAGCATGTAATGAAACTTTTACCATATCGGCGTGTATTGATTAAGTGCAAATGGGATTTCTTTTGCCAGCCTGGCTATTTTCTTTCTTGGGAGGGTCTCTGAAGACCTTATAGATGTAGTTCTACTATGGATATAGATTGTAAAAGCTAAGTAGGGACAAGTAGATGGGACATCCAGGATCAAGCCATCAAAAACAAAACACCTTCATTGCATCCATGCGTATGATACCTATAAAAAAGGAAGAATTCCCCCAAGCCGGTTGAATATGCCCAGAAGATGATCCCCGTTCATGACCCATTCACAACATCTCTCGTAGAGAATCATAAAAAAGAAAGCTCCTACAACACGCCCTTAGATGTATTTTCTTATCTAGATCACCCTGTTGAAAGACCTGACCATCTAAGAAGTAGGCAGAGTAACCTGCGCCACCCCATCAGCAATCTTCTCAACAGCCTCGTCATTCTTGCCTTCAGTCGTAACGGAGACCTTCTCCGCACCACCCTTAGCAGACCCCTCAACACCACCTTCAGGAGCACCAGCACGGCCCTTCTCCTTCTTCTCCTTCTTCTTAGCCTTAGCAGCAGCCTTCTTCGCAGCCTGCTTGGCGGCCTCCTCCTCCTTCTTCTTCCGGTCAGCCTGCGAGCCACCGAACATCTCACGCCATTCATCCGCCTTCTTGGGATCAATACGTGTGAACAGGTAAGCGGCCTTGCCGATCTTGTGACCAGCCTTCAGCGAAGTAGGCTTCCAGCCGGACTGGATCTCTTCCACAGAGGGGATGTACAGGAAGGGTGCATTCAGCTGCTCCAGAATCGACTTGGAGGTTGCGGGCATGTACGGCGAGAACACGCTGGACAGCAGGTGGATCAGGTTGAGGACTGTGCCAACGACGGCGGCAGCACGCTCGGGCTCGTTCGCAATCAGCGCATTGTCGAGTCGGTTCGCCTGGATCAGTCCGTTACCCGCCTCGGCGATGCGCATGGCTGTCTGCACACCGGCGCGGAGGTGCGCACCTTCCAGATCTTCGTGGTACTGGCGCAGGTGTTCGGTGACTTCCTCCAGGAATGGGTTGAAGGTCTCTGGCACGGTGAATTCCGGAATGACGGAGCCGTACGAGGCGGTGACGAGCTTGATAACACGGTTGACGAGGTTACCGAGCTTGGCGAGGAGCTCGCCGTTGTTGCTGTCCACGAAGGGACCCCACTCGAACTGAGTGTCGCCGGTCTCTGGGCGGTTCTTCAGAAGGAAGTAACGCCACACGTCGGCGGAAACACCGGTTTCACGGGCGTTCGTGCCGAACACACCCACACCGCGCGACTTGCTGAACTTGCCGCCTTCGTAGTTGAGGTATTCGGTCGTGCTCAGGTGGTGCAGCATGGTCCACTTATCTCTAGTACCGATCTGAGTACCGGGGAAGATCACACTGTGGAAGGGCACGTTGTCCTTGCCCAGGAACTGCCACAACTGCACATCCTCCGGGTTGCGCCACCACTTCTCCCACTCGTCTGTGTAGTTGGCAGTGATCGAGGGGTAGCCGATGCAAGCCTCGAACCACACGTAGAGAACCTTGTTCTCGTATCCCTCCAGCGGGACGGGAACACCCCACTTCAAGTCTCGGGTGATACCACGGTCCTTCAAGCCCTCCTTCAACCAGGACTCGGTGATAATGCGGGAGTTCCTGGGCCAGTTACCCTTCTCAATAGCGGGGTGAGCCCATTTCTCGATCTCAGGTTGGAGCTTGTCGAGCAGGATGTGGATGTGTTTCGTCTCGCGGCGGACGGGGGAAGCGCCGTCAAGCTTGCAGCGGGGGTTGATGAGATCAAAGGGATCAAGGAGGTGACCGCACTTGTCACACTGGTCTCCACGGGCATCGTCGTAGTGGCAGCGGGGGCATTCACCCTCCACGAAGCGATCAGCCAGGAACGATCCGTGCTGCTCGCAGAAGGGCTGTTCGGCGGTGCGCTCAGCGAGGAAGCCGTTCTCGTGCAGGCGCTTGAAGATCGACTGGGAGATCTCGGTGTGCTTCTGTGTAGGGGTGCGACCGAAGTGATCGAAGCCGATGTTGAACCATTCGTAGACATCTTGGTGGATCTTGTTGTATTTGGCGCACAGATCCTCCGGCGATACCTTCTCCTCCAGCGCCTTGGTTTCGGTTGCGGTTCCGTATTCATCTGTACCACAGATGTACAACGTGCGTCGACCACAGGCCTTGTGGTATCTATTGAGTAGTTGTCAGTTTCATGGCGCAATGGTGTATTCTGTGTGGGGTTGACTCATACCTGGCGAATACATCGGCACTCAGCACGGAGCCCACGACGTTACCCAGATGGGGAACATTGTTCACGTAGGGCAAAGCGCTCGTCACGAGGATATTGCGCTCGCCAGCTTTGGGCAATATGGGATCCGTCGTCATCTTGAGGTGTTTGGAGAGAAGAACGTCTTTGTTGGAGGGGCAAAGGCGGGAAAATCAGAAAGTGGGCATCTCGTCACATGCCCCGCGCGTATCAAAAAAAAAAAACGTTATCAATTGGATTCTTCAACTTTTGACTCATATCTGTCTTATATCCACAATGGAGCACAATATTCTGGACAGTCTCCTTGATCTAGAGGAGCAATTCTACAATGAGGGATATGAGCTAGGCACCGCGGATGGAGCCGCTACCGGATATACCGAAGGCAGTGTTTTTGCCGTTGAGAAAGGCTTCGAGAAGTTTGTCGAGATGGGACGCTTGTATGGCAAGGCATTAGTCTGGGCACAGAGACTCGAAATGAAATCGTCCGAAGGCGCCGCGTCGCAGGTGGATAGCGCAACGGATACCCTTTCTCTTGATCCGTCTATCTGCAAAGACATGCCCAGTCTTCCACCACACAGCACTCGACTAGCCAGGAATCTCCAGACGCTTCTGGAACTCGTTGATCCGGCTACTCTGGATATGAGTAACACGGAGGAAGCTGTCAATGATGTGGACGAGCGTCTCAAAGGCGCTGCCACGAAGGCGAAGCTCATCCAACGCGCAATGGGCGAGCGCGAGGATTCGGCCACCCAGGCTGATCCCAAGGATATGACGACCTCCGGAGATGGTTCTGGAAGCATTGAAGATATCAGTGCACTGAACATTCGTCACTGAGGGCTTGGTCATGCTTCACCAAATCGGTTGGCATACCGGACGGTCGACTCCCGGACTCTACCGATGTCCTTGGATCAGAGTGCCAAAGGCCAGTCCTTCGTTAGTAACAAAACAATCGCTTCGGTCACCACGTGAAAAGTGCTCCAATATCTGGAGTGCCATTGCACAGAGCCTGAGAAAGGTCATTCAATCCGAAATGATTCATTCGAGACTCATTCTCCCAGGCTTGGTTTACACCCTCCGAATACCAAGGCATCTCGCTCGTTTGCCACGGAGAACCAACAATCGGGCTCAATTGGAGGTCCGAATTTGATGCTCCAGACATATCAAGACTCGTCTACTATATCATGGGCACCAAAGTAGAGAAGTCCCGAAGAGTCATCCCGGGAGTTCTACTGACAACAGACGTTCGTGGTGTCCAGTGGTTTCATGCAGGACCAAATTGATTATTTACAATCATTTCTAAAGACTCCAAGTTACAAAGGGAAAATTGTCATGTCAAAATAAATCATTGATTTCCTTTGGATGTCATAATATAGAACATTTCATCAAAAATGCAAATTTTCTTTTAGTCTTTAGTTATCATCAAGCCACCAAAATGCCTATAGCTCAAGGCTGCGCTCAGCCATAGCCATAGCACCCTCTTTCGTCTTGTGGCCACCAATGAATCCACTAGCGTGAACAAAGACGGCACCCTCGGGGATCTTGCTCTGACCATTCTTCTCAGCCTCCGCAGCCATAACACCATCAAGGTCCTGGTCGCGGACACCGCGCCACGCCTCAGGCAGAGGCTTGCGGGACTCAAAGCTGCTCTCGTTGACGGAAACGCACTGCACGCGCCACTTGGCTCCCTCGGTAGCGCTCTCGGGGTACAGAACGTAGTACGTCTGGGCGGCGGGGTCAATCTCCTTGGTTCCGGAAGCCTCGGCCTCAAAGTTGTACAGGTGCTCCTTCCAGGGCACGCCGCCCTGGGGGAGGACGATGATGCGGCCGGAGGGGTGGGTGTCCTTGCGCGAGGCGTAAGCGGAGCCGACGGTCGTGCGGGCAGGCATCCAGGATGTGCAGGCGTGGTGCATCTTGCGTGCGAAAGCGTTTCCGATGAGCGTGCTGGCGCGTCCGAAGAGGCTGTCCTCGTCCTGGGGCTCTCCGGGAGGGCTGGTGGGGTCTGGGTTGTTCATGTCGCCAACCATTGAGGCGAGCGTGATGCCACCGTTCTTGAAGCGCTTCTCGACGCCGGCGGCGGCAAGCGCAGCCTGGTCGTAGGCGGAGATACCGTTGTCGTTGGCGTCAATCGCTTCGATGAAGTCTGTGTACAGCTTCTCGTACAGCAGGTCTACGTCGGCGTGCTCCACGGGCAGGGACAGCTTCTGGGCGATGATCGCCTTACCGAAGTGCATGTACACCAGACCAGCGGAGGAGAGCTTGGTGGCGTGCTGCGGGAAGGTCGTTGAGAAGGTGCGCTGGTGGTGGTCATAACGGTGGATGGCGGGGTCGTACACGCCGCCCACGTCGACGACAGTGTGGCATTTCTCCAACTCAGCGGGGTCGCGCGTGCGGATGAGAGGGGAGGAGGCGTATGTGGGGAGCAGACGGAGGAGGTAGACGGCGAGGGCCTCGTCGGCGTGGAAGTGGCCGCTGGTTTAGTCAGTATGTGAGCAGATTGAGCTAGATGAGTAGCAATTTCAGGAATATTGCACTCACTTGTGTGTCCCGATCAAGGGGGACGAGGTCTTGAGCTTCTTTGCTACGTTTTCGGCCATTTTGAAGTAGTTATTGAATCTGAGCATTCAAACTGAAAGGGAATGGTCTAAAGGTCTTCACGTATTAATTGCTGCGCTCTGGCTGGCTGAGTTTCTTATCTGCGTTGCCATATCGGGTTATTAGGGCTTTAATCTAGGGCTGAATGCTAGCATGTGACTATCAGCTCTCGATGCATGAGATCTAGAATGATATCCCTAATATTATTGAACTACGTCGTCAAGCGCAGAGGTTGCACTGGGCTTATGTGACTACTCTTATACCTAAAAGAGATACATGGGCTAAAACTCGAATGGATTTGACAAAGCAAAGCTGGAAGAAACAGGAATGTGCTGCCTGGTTTAGATAGCTATGAAAGGTCGAATAAATCAACGATGTTCGATCAGACTACAACGGTTCCTATAACACTCGAATCGATTCTAGAAAGAAAATCGAATATCTATTAAACCGCCACCCAGCGCCTAGCAAGAAATACAAGAGAAGAAAGAACCAGGTATCCTATGTACAAGTAATGGCTTCAGATCGTTGGGCTGTGTGTGCGTGTTTGCGTGGATGGAGGAAGATTCGGCTGAGGGGGAGCGAAAACGAAACCAGGGAGCTGTGAATAGGAAGGTTTGAGTGTGGACAGCAAAGGGTATAAGTGCCAAACTGGATAAACAATGGTAATTCGGGGTGGATATGGAAGACACAGAGAGGGAAAAGAGCAAAAAGCAACAGGTTTATCTGGTATCGTCGAGTCGTGAAAAGGGGTGTGGGATATTGAACGGGGCGCTGTTTGCCTCAAGACACCGAGACAAACCAAACACACCCAGAGAAATCGAGAAGGGTATGCTTGGCAAGGAAGCAAGAAAGAGCAGGGACGGAGTGACGTGAGACAAATCCCAATCAAAAGCGAGACCGGTGATATATGGCGTCAGACGATCGAAACTATTCCGAGGGACTCGCTCTACACGTAGCTGTAGCAAAGATGGAAGATCATTGGCGAAATTCCCTGCCGAATCGCCGGTGGGTGGCGTTTTCGTTGTCAAGGTTGCTGCGGGATAGGTCACTTAGTAGGCTTGTGGCCGACTGGACTCGTGCAGTAATATACCACAGCGAAGGAATCAAGAAGACCGATTCGATTGGCCTTCAAATTCCCGCTGCGCTATTGCTGGAGCAATAATAAAGAGGAAAGCGTAGGCATATTGACTTAGCAGTCGTTGACTCTGGAAAGTCGTTATTCAGTCGGTTTTCCAGTGGCCTGCCACTCCGTTGTCGAGATCGTTGGTTTCCCCTAGCCATAGCTCGACCGCATATAGGGATATCGTGCAAGCAAGATTGATCCACCGCCATGGGTTACCACCACCGTTGCCTTGGGTGCTCCACCATTCACCGCTGCCACCCATTGCTTGTGAGGTTGATGCGAAGTGCTGCATGAGGAGACTGGTGTAGACAGCGATGAGAATGCTCGGGGCAAAGTAGCTCAAGAATCCCAGCACTTGACCTGCTGCGTCGGTATCATCGATGGAAGCCTCTTGGGAAAGCGCACGGGCGCCAGACTCGCGGACAGCTGGGATGATGCGCGTCGATGCATACAGTACGAGCAGGCGGTAGGCGAGCGAGATGAGGACGGAGGGCGTGACAGCGCTGAAAACGGTGGTAATAACGTTGAAGCCTGCGTGGATAATCGAAGGCAGAAGAGACACCGCGTGCATCAAGGTTGTGTATGATGCCATGATAATGGGAGGCAGCGGAGGGAACTCTCCGACCTGCGAGGGCGAGGGGATTTGTTCCACGGGGTGCGATGGCTGATAGTCCGTGAAGATCTGGTAGATGCAGAGCACGATGTAGGCGAAGAGGAGAGAGCTTTCGACTGGATTGCCGCGGCCACTTCCAATCCCCCAGGCACACAGAATGACGGCGCATGTGACAGAGACCCCAATCAAGGCGGCATCGACGTTAGAGATTTCGGGGAATTGCAGAACACGCCAGAGGAAGTAAACCGAGCTGGAGATAATTGTAGCGGACAAGACCAAGAGGCCGATCTAAGACAAGGGTTAGTTTTTATCACGACATCCAAAGGGAACCAAAACAACAAAAACATACCATCCAGCTATCGCTGCGTCCACCTCGGTTGACAAGCCAGCGGGTAATTTGCCCAGCAGCCTGGATCACCAGTAAACTGCAGAAGCCCTCTGCCAGCTGGAAGACCGGGGTGGACCATCTCAGAAGTCTATCCCAGTTGCCGAGGGCCACAGTTTCCACCAGGCCATCGCGACCAAAGAGCCATTCCTGAATCGAAGCATCCTGCGCCCTCTTGCCGCTGAAAGTGCGCTCCACCCATCCCGTACTCGTATTGTCGGCATCAACCGAGAATCGATTCAGCGACCAAATCAAAAGGACCAGGATGACGGCCCATTGTATGAAGCGGAGAACGGCAATGATGGAGGAACGGACCCACGATCGGTCAGGGGTGGTGACCTTCAACAGCGATACCAAGAAGTAAAAGGCCGCTAAGGACAGCGAAAAGGCCAGACCACATGTCTTGCCGCCCACATCGAAAGCTAGTGGGATGGACGAGACGGTGATGGCTAGGAACAAGGCCGACGAAAAGACCCGAAAGAGCCACATCGGACCGCCGTAGGGGGTTTGGTACGCGGTAGGGGATCGAGGGGATGGGGGTTGTGATCTGAGGCGACCGTCGTGTTTAGAGTCTGGATGGGGGGAAAGAGAGAAGTTAAGGAGGGGGAGAAACACACTGTTTTCTTTTTTTTTTCCTCTCTCGAGCTTATCGCTTTTCAAGGCACTTCACGTGGGTCACCAGGAAGAGCGAAGTAGAAACCCCTGAAAAAGGAAAGGGAAAAAAAACAAGATCGACCAAGGAGATTAAATAGATCAAATAAACAGAATAAACTAAGAGAAATTCCCATGAAAAAGAGAAGCGGAAGTCTCTTTTAATAAGAGTGTTACAGCTAGACTGGCGGTCGGAGCACCCCATTATTCTACCTAGGCTACTAGGCTATACCAATTTACCTAACGTTGAACTTAGGGCCTAGAAACACTAGAAAAGAAGCTAATGGCTTTTAGTTCTCCGGTATTTTTTTTATTATACTAGACGGAGTACACAGATCTTAGAATTCCGAATCAGATATCCACTATGTTGACATACTTAACCGAACTACAACATATATAGCAGATATACTATACATTGTTTCACGCTTTTTGTCATTTTTCTAGATCTATAGTTTTATAATCATAGAATGTAGATATATGCAGTGAAAGGCTCGATTTCTATATTTAGTACGCAAGAATAGCCCACTTATATAGCTTCTATCCATAACAATACGATCCAGTTAGCTCCATCTAGATAATATATATATATATACATGTTCTTCCGAACTATTGTGTTAACCCTACATACTATATGAGGCATTGCCATTTGAAGGATGTATAATACACCGTAGTAGACGATAAAAGGTATAAAACGACTTCGATGTATAACTTTTAATGAACAAATTGGATGTTATAACACGGGGGAAGTCTTGAAACAATAGAAGTGCCGGAATCAGCAACATGATAGCCAAATACCATAGTACAGGCAGACATAACGTAGACAAATTATTGCGAGATTGGAAATCCAAAGGGACACGAGTGAATTATCATAAACAAGGGCCTTGTCGTATGAACTGGATATGAACAAGGAGAGCAGAAGTCAAGAAAGGAAAAGACAAGAAACTGCATGCCACAGATTGCTAATCATAAGTTGAATGGTAAATGGTGATAATTGGAGAAAAATAAAGAAAGCCAAGACACCGAAGAGCGAAAGCAGTGCTTGACTGGGCAGTAAATGTCCCGGAGAACAAACCACCTGCCATATCAACACACAGTCCAAGCACTCTCACACACACTCTCTCGCTCTGTCCTGCAGTGTACCCCTATCCCATTCTTCCCCCATTCACAAAAGTCATTTAAAAAAAGAAACTAAAAAGAAATTCCCATAGCGCCAAGCTTTTGAAAGTGAAATCACAGACCCCCTTCAAAAGATATGCATGCAACGATCGCCCTCCTCAGAACAGCCACAGCCACCCGGTGTAGTGCATGATAGTGTATCGTCGCCTACCGACGGATCGGAACACCCTCTCTCGCAGCAGGGGGGCTGACACTAAGTTCCTGCTCACCCTGCACCGATCCGGAGGCCAGACCAGAGCCTGCCTCACCCTCGCTGATACTAGTACCACGGTGTAGGTAGCTACCTCCCTCCTTGATTGGGCTGCGGCTTTGGAACCCGATTGAGCCAGGGTGTCCGCTGATGCTGCCAGGGATTTGCTGCCCACCTTGGGAGCTGACACTGCCGTTGCTGGCAGAGTTGTTGGCGCCCGGTGAGGTTGAGGTGAGGTGCGGGATGTTCTCCGGCACTGGGTGGCGTGACCCAATGTTGGTGACGCCTACGTCGGAGGCTTTGCCGGCTTTGCTGAGGGCGTAGTCACCTGAATCAAAGTATTTGCGTTCCTGTAGAAAGGTCAGTGTTAGGATGGTGTGTTGGGGTGGGGGGTTGGGTTGGAGTTGGGCTTACCTTGAGCTTGTTCTGGAGGACATCCTTCTTGGTGGGCATCTTGCCGTAGAGGCGCAGCAAGCGCTGCTCCTCTGGGCTCAGGGACTAGGGAATTGTTAATAATGATCAGATAAAAGAGTGGGAGGACTTACGTTGATGTCCACTTTATTCTGCTGATGGGGATTCATGATGGATGGTTGAAGAAAGTTGAAGTCGAAGTGGTGAAGTTGGAGGGGGAATTGAGGCGGGAAAGATAAGGCGGGGAGCAGTTGATGTGTGACCGGGAGGGTCAGACGGGAGAGAGAGAGAGAGAAAAAGAAATAATAGGAGAAAAGAGTAATAGAGTAATGGGGTAATAGAATAATAAATAATAGAGGAACACTCACAATCACAGTATTTTAATTAAAATCCCAGAGATGTGAGGAATCGGAGATGGTCACTATTGGCTGTGGACGAGGTAGATGACGTTCTAGGAACTTTTCCCTGAGTAACTACGTATGATGGTGTTTTAATAAGAGATATAGCTAGGATATCTATGTATTTTAAGATGTTTTAATCCGTTATACAATATCATCATGGAAATATACTCTATTTTAGCCCATTCCTTTCTATTAAAGTAATGAATGGTATCATACTATACGCTATGAGTATGTACCTAGATTAAATCGCACATATAGCCCATTAATTAGGTATCGATCTAACAACCTTCTACGGTCATCCCAAGGATTTCCCATCGTTATCCCAAGGCTCAGCTGAAGATCATAGTATAATTGGTTCATCAAACCCATTATACCCTCGTCACCTGCCAGTGTGGAACCGAACCTTGAGCTTCTTCATTTCTTCATTTCTTTATTTTTCCCACTTCTGTGACGTCTCTCTCTTTCCAACACCCACCATGAGCCAACCAACCTTCGTAGTTGAACATTTGGACCCCGAGCTGGGCCCATGGTCCACGCTCGAATATGCCTGCATCGCGCGCGAATCCCACGACCGCGGGGCAAGATTCCTGCTCAGCTCTGTGCCCACCGAGCTGCAGATGCCCGCAGATCTCGCCGCCACCAAGGGCCTCGAGGTCGAGCACCGTAGTGTCGAAGAGATCTTCGCCGACCGCAAGGAAAAAGTCTGCTTGTTGGACCCTTCCGCTACGGCTGAGTTGAGTCCCGAGGATGGTGATACCTTTGATGTCTTCTTGTTCGGTGGTATCCTCGGTATGGAATTTTTTTTTTTACCCCGCGATATAAATATATGGATTGAGTTTAGACTGACCATTTGATTTTCACTGCGTCTGCAGGCGACGACCCGCCTAGAGGTATGTACTGGATTTCTCTATGCATTTCGGCGAGAGACTGACTTTGCAGACCGCACCTCGGAATTGAGGAAGAAGGGATATGTCGGCCGCCGATTGGGGCCTAAGCAGATGACCACCGATACTGCTGTGCGAGTTACTCGATTGGTTGTGCACGAGAAGGGTGAGTACGAACGAGTCTAGATGATCTATGTGCTGTACGCTGATTTTGCCTAGTACCCCTCGAGGAGATTCAATATGTCGACTACCCGGAATTGCTCATCAATGAGCACGAGCGCACCGAAATGCCTTTCCGTTATGTCAAGGATGCCAATGAGCAGCCTATCATGCCCGATGTAAGACGATTGAATTGCGAGAGAGAAATAAGAGGCTAACAGTTCAGGGTATGGTGGATCTTATTAAGAAGGATGCCGACAAGTCGATTGATTTCTTCTGAGTTGATACATACAAAGTATGTACTCCGTACTCCGTACGTACCCGCGATAGGTACTAGTTGAAGATCCCCCCTAAATTAAACGATAATAAGGTGGCTGAAGAAGGGCCTGGGCGTGTTTCAATGGTTTGATGTCGAATTGGGGAAGTTTCACCTTCGTGATTCAGATTTAGGTGGATATATTAAAAATACATACCTGGATTTATGGTCAATTTGAGTAGATACTTATAGGTAATATTTTAATATGTTAAATGGATCTAAATAGACCTAAATCACTCCAATTGATTATAAGAGGGATCTATATAAATAATACAATAAATACAATAGAAAACAATAAATACAGAAATACTTCTGCCAAGGTAGTAAGTGGCTGTGCATTTCATTCAATCCACCTGTAATTACTGGTAATTACACTGATTACTCCACAAGGCCACGCCAGCCTTAGACTTCCTTTGAACTCCGTCATTCGACTGCGTACACTCTGTACACTTTGTACACTAACACACCTTGAACACCTTGAACACCTTGACTTTCCTTTCTTTGTAAACATCCCTTCAACTATCTCTCTACTATCCCGTTCCTTCTGTGTCGTCTTACTCGTCCAACTCCGATGATCTGTTGATTTGCACCGACGAGTCCCTCCCGGGATATCTATTCGACCATTTACCACAACCTTGATTCTGATGATACCCACACTGGACTGCTGAAATGCTCTCAATACCATTCCTCCCTTCTTCCATGAAGGGCGGTACCGCCGCGATGTTACTATCCGCCTTATCGCTGCTGTTGAGCCCGTTGGTATCCGCCAGTTCGGCTGCTGATTATTATGTGCACTCCTTGCCCGGGGCGCCGGAAGGCCCTTTATTGAAGATGCATGCTGGGTAAGTCCCTACGGAGTTGGATTGCCTCGAAATTATTGGCCTTTTCTAACGCACCAACTCTAGACATATCGAGGTCGATCCTGACATCAACGGCAACCTGTTCTTCTGGCATTTCCAGAACCGTCATATCGCAAACCGACAACGTACCGTCATTTGGCTGAATGGAGGCCCGGGATGTAGCTCGATGGATGGCGCATTGATGGAAGTTGGGCCCTACCGACTCCAGGACGACCATACGTTAAAGTACAACGAGGGCAGGTGGGATGAGTTTGCCAACCTGCTCTTCGTCGATAACCCCGTCGGCACCGGGTTTAGCTATGCAAACACCAATAGCTATATTCATGAGCTGGATGAAATGGCCGCTCACTTCATTACCTTCTTGGAAAAGTTCTTTGAGCTATTCCCCGAGTATGCGAACGATGACGTACGTTTGCCTTGTCCCCTACTACCTTGATTTATATCTCTAACCGCGTTGCAGCTATATATCGCCGGTGAATCGTATGCTGGCCAGCACATCCCATATATTGCAAAGGCCATTCAAGATCGCAACAATGGCCTTGCAGAGAACGGAGGCACAAAGTGGCCCATCAAGGGTTTGTTGATCGGTAACGGTTGGATCTCTCCTACAGACCAGTACCCTTCGTACTTTAAGTTCATCGAGAGGGAAGGTCTCATTCAACCGGGCACAACCCTCCAGCACAACCTCAATGCACTCAACGAAGTCTGTCTCTCGAAGCTGGAGACCGCCGGCGCAAAGAACAAACTAAATATAGCCCCGTGCGAGTTTGTCTTGGAACAATTCCTCCAGCTCACCACCGAAAACCAGCAGTGTTACAACATGTACGATGTTCGTCTCAAAGACACGGCCCCAGCCTGTGGCATGAACTGGCCCCCCGACCTGAAAAACATTGAGCCGTACCTCAAGCGACCGGACGTCGTCAAAGCCCTGAACATCAACCCCGCAAAGAAATCCGGCTGGGCGGAATGCTCTGGGATGGTCCACATGGCCTTCACTGCAAAGAACTCCATCCCCTCCGTCAACCTGCTCCCAGGTCTGATCGAATCGGACATCAACGTTCTGCTTTTCAGCGGCGACAAAGACCTCATCTGCAACCACATCGGAACAGAGACTCTGATCCACAACATGAAGTGGAAGGGTGGCACCGGCTTCGAAACCTCCCCCCGGTGTGTGGGCCCCGCGCCACGACTGGACTTTTGAGGACGAACCCGCTGGTATCTACCAATCTGCGCGTAACCTCACTTACGTGCTCTTCTACAACTCCAGCCACATGGTTCCATTTGATAATCCCCGCCAGACCCGCGACATGCTCGACCGCTTCATGAAGGTCGATATTGCCAGCATCGGCGGCCAGCCTTCCGATTCACGTATCGACGGCGAGAAGTTGCCTCAGACTGCTGTCGGCGGACAGGCTAATAGCACTGCTGCCGAACAGAATGAGAAAGAGAGGCTGAAGCAGACTGAGATGCACGCGTACGCCAAGTCCGGCGAGGCTGTCCTCGTCGTTGTGATTATCGGTGTGGTCGTTTGGGGCTTTTTCATCTGGCGTAGTCGTCGTGCTCGCCGGGGCTACAAGGGCGTCTCAAATAATGATATGCCAGACAGTACATCCATTCTCAACCGATTCCAGAGCAAGCGTTCTGGTCCTGATGTTGAAGCTGGTGATTTCGACGAGTCCGAACTCGACCAGCTTCATTCCCCGGCATTGCGCAGGAGCATTACGCGGTTGGCGAAGCTAGTGATGACGATGATCATGTCTCGCATCCGGAAACTGGTGAAACCCGCCAGTCTTCACAATAAGTGGTTCTTTTTGAAATGATTTTTGGCATGTGCATAAAGTAGACGGTGTTCTGGGGTCTTGATCTCATTCTAAATATGACCTTTCAATCTGATATCTCTTATAACTTGATTTCCTTATTATGATTTTAGCGTTTCCATCGGAGAAAAGACAATATGACATGTCATCTAGTTGTGGCTAGCAAAGATGCCCAGCTCAGCGCTAGGCAAGCTGAATCTAAACCACATCGGAATAAACGTGGTCAACTCTTGGCCTATATGACCATGGTTCAAGCGAGCAGAAAACGCAGAGCCCAGTTGGATTATTTAGTCTGGGGGGTTGTGAGTGACGGCTTGGAGTACTACCCAGCTGGATATGCAGGGCGAGTGGTTCTTGGTGATATTTCGATCGACGCCAGAAGCCTGGCAGAGTATTGCCAATATTGTCGCTACATTCATCTTGCATTCCACCGTCTCATATTATCCTCTGCGTCCAGATCTAGCTTGATGAATGGGTTTGAGGATAATGCGGTTTCTAAGTAGCTTTTACCCATGGGTTTATATGTAGCTCTATCCTTCACTTCGCAGTGTCCCGGTGACATCTTGCATATTGATTATATGTTCTTCATTTGTCTGGCTTCTAAATACACCAAGCCTTTTTGTCTATAAGCAATTCAGATACAACAGATGCCAATCCCAAAAGAAAATCACCGCGTCACAGTCCAAACCTTGACGCTCCCATCATCAGCCGTGGAAACAAGCACTTCCTCCTCATTACCAGACCCCCGATCCGCCCTCTTGGCCCAAGCAACATGGTTAATCTCATAAATCCCATGCGCTCCATCCTGAACACCAACAAGCACCCACTCTGTCCGTAGCACATCACTAGAGGTAGTATCCATAGCATCTAAATCAGCCTGCTGCTCCTGCTCCGACGGAACAAACCGCTCTTCATAAACCGCAATCCGGCCATCTGCACTAGTCGAAGCAACAAGCCCAGTCCGCTTACTCCACGCAACAGCATAAATAGGCAGTTCATGCGCATGCGGAAGCACAGCATCCTCCTCCCAAACCTCATCCGTCCCAGTAGGCCGGATGATACTCGGGATACCCGTCGCCGCAGAAGACAACGCCCCCGTCTGCTGCGACTCCTTCGGCTGACGTCGCCACACGCGTACGGTGCGGTCGTCCGAGCAAGAGAGAAGGCGCGGGCCGGAAAGCGCCCTCTGGGAACGCCACTGAGCTTGTAGAGCGCTCAGCTCAGACTCGGAAACGGATTCAGAGACAGGCCCGTTCCATTTCCCCTCGGTTTCTTCCCCCTCCCAATCCAAAAACCAAACTGTCCCCTCATGGCCCTTGATGCATGCTACCTGGCCCCAATCATCCAGATCCTCCCGCCACAGTCGGATGGTATCGTCGTAGCTCCCGCTAGCGAGACACTCCTCTGAAGGATGCCATGAAACACACTTCACATCGCCCCCGTGCTCCTGCATCACAGCAACGGTCTCGAAGTTGTTATCGCCGTCGTCGAGATCCTCCCAGATCCAGATTGACTTGTCGCGTGAGCATGTCGCCAGCAGCATCCCCGATGCAGACCATGATACGGACTTGACTTCGCTGTCGTGGCCGTCGAGAAGGACTGCGAATCGCCATTCTTCTTCGTCTTCTTCACGGTCTGCGCTGTTGGTACCAGTACCGTTGGGAGCTTCTGTTAAAGTATCGGTTGCGGTCTGTTTATCGCCACTGTTCATCCCAAGCCCGGCACCGTCTTCCTGTCCGTAACTATCCCACCGCCGCCAGATGCCGACTGTTGCGTCGAAACTGCCTGTCGCCAGGACGGACTCCCCCGCCATGTGTGGCTTCCATGCTGCTGTGCGGACGGAGCGTTTGTGGCCACCGGTGATTGTGGAAAGGAGGGTGAAGTTTGTGAGGGAGTAGACTCGGATGGTCTTGTCTGAACTGCAGGTTGCGACTATGGGGAGGGTGGGGTGCGGGGCTGTGAGCCAGGTTCGTTCTTGAGAGGGGGGTGTTAGGTCGGACAGGTGTGCTATTGTGACTTTTGAAGACATCTTGATTTATGTTTTCCCGTTGAGTATTGAACGTATTGAAGGGATTGGAGGGAAAGGGAATGGAGGGATGTGGTCGTGAGGTTGGAATTTTGAGGTGGGGGGTTTGCTGATTAGATAGTGACTTTCCGGGTTTATATTGGAGATATCTTATAGATTGAACACTTTCAAGCTTGGAATATCCACAGAACTATGCGTGGTACAGTATAGAAAAAAGTATAAAATTCAAGTGTCATTACTCCATACAAAACCTCTAGAGACTAGTTGTGTACCCTGCCAATCTGCCCTGTCCAAAGTCCAACCTCCACAGTCCAAAAATGGAAACAAAACGACAAAAACCAAAAAAAGACAGCATTATATATGTTCCTCTAAAACGCCTTCACTGTGCTGGAACGCCTTCTTCATATAAACCCTCGTATATCGCCCCATGGCAAAGCCAATCCACTTCCCGGACCTTCTCTAATTCTTCCACCAACTTCCCAACCTCATTAACAAACTCCGGCATACCGGCTCCAGCTAGATTCTGACTAGCCGTGGTAGTAGCCCGCACCCGTTCAGAGGCACTCGATGCGCTGAGGCGCGATAGGATGTGGCTGCGAAGGCGGGAGAGAATGAGTTTCGTCACCGGGTCCGAGAAGCTAGCCGCGGAGGTTGTGCTTCCATTCGAGTCTGAGACAGGGGTCTCTGAAGTGACCACCGCGAGCTGGGGTGCGGCAGCGAGACATGCTGTGGCGACGGGTCCGAGCACTCGTTTGATCGTAGCTGCGAGCTGGGCGCTCGCAGCGGGTGGCATCGGATGCGTCGACTCCAGGATAGACTGTACTCGCTCTGGGCTGATCTCGTTGAAGTCCAGAGACAGAATCCGGTCTGCTTCAGGTTTCCACTGGGACCGTGCGTCTCGCTTAAGCAGGTTCTTTGCTGTCAACAGGATGGAAGCAGTTGCTACAATTTGGAATACCCTGGCGTGCAGCCGCTCAAGCCGTTGGCGATCGAGGGCCAGAGTCTCCGGAACTAGATCCTCAGACACAACCGCATTGCTTAGAACGGTGTCGGCAAGACCTTGGGCGTAGACTCGTGCTGATGGTGGGTGTGGCTCTCCTTGGACGCCTTCCGGGTCTCGCTTCTTCATCTCATCAACAATGATCTTGCGATGAATGCGCCAGAATCGTCGGGTCTTGCCCAGGGTGATGGTTCCGTCTGCAACATCTCGGTCGAATGCCCGCTTCTCATAACCCGGAGCTTCTTCGATGAGCTGGGGTGCAGCAAGCTGGATCATGAAATTCGTTTGGTCGAGTGATAGCAGATCAATGATGCTCATCAATCGAGCCAGCCGGTCGATGGCATCGCCTGACGTATCCTCAATGTATGCCTTGACCACAGGATCCCGGTAGGGAGCGCAGAGGCGTGGTAAGATGTTGTTCATGAACTCGAAGAAATTATCATAGGAGAATGTGCCAGCCTCGCACTGTCCCTGAACCAGTTTTGGGTCTAAGGCTTCGCTAATTATCACGTAAAGGGAATTGCCCCGTTGGAGTGAGCGCAGCAACCGATCTTGGATCACTGTAGCCATTGCGACAGTCCAGTTGGTGCCGTGTCCGGACTCGACCCCTTTTCTCATTGTGTCGCACATCTGCTTCATAATCTGTCTGCGCGGTTCAGTGTACGGTGCCTCCTCGATCTTGAACTCTTTGTTGATGAGGAGTTCATGCACCAGCTCCCGATTTTCAGGGAGAGGAGTGAGGATTTTGGTGAATCTCTCGTGGGGAGATATCCGCTGCTTATCCAGCTCTTGGAATACTGCGGCATCGATGTTGTTGAATGACTCGCTAAGGGGGGGTTGTGACACTCTGCGTAGCTTCCGTGGTTGGAGGAGCAGTCTCAGCGGACCGAGGAATAGCTTGCTTGGAGGCAGCCCTCTTCTTCTCCCGCTTGGCCTTCTTCAATGAATCTCGGATCAGTTCCATGTGTCGGTCAGGCCCCGCAAGTCTTTTCAGACGGGCGAGCAAAAGGACCTGGTTCTGTCGGATACCCAGTCTGTAGTCCTCTGCAGCACCGCCGGCTTTGTCATTCTTGACCGTCTGCCAAATCAACTCCAGTTCGACAAACTGTGCAACCATGATCTCAATCAGTACACTAGAATCATGCGACTTCCAAGCATGGAAAGCAGAGAAAAACACGTTGTGTGATTCACACAAAGTTTGCAGATCTGCAGTGATCACGGATGGAGAGCAACAGCCTGACGATAGCAGCGCCGTGACCTGGTCAAAGGCTACCAGCAGGTCCCGGGCCTTGGCAATCAGATCTTGCTCTTGGTCTCCATTGCTGCTCAAAACTTCTTGGGGATGAGTGACAATGAGATAGCTGCTGAGGAATGTGCGTACTGCACCCCTCTCACCCATCGCGCCGCCTTCCATATCTTGCAGACCGCAGAGGCGGAGAACGTTCGTCATAGTATCGAGCAACTTGCTGTTAGAAAGGAGAGCACCAACTTCTTCAAAGGCCATGTCGCGAACTCGGTCTACCGACAGGTTCAACGACTGGAACTGCTGCATAACCATCTTCGCGTTATGGGTTCTCCATACGCGCTGGATCTTCCGCGCAGCAGCATCCTGCGCAACGGACTTGGTGACCTCTCGGGACATCTTCTTTTCCTCAGTGGCTGGCAAGCTGCTAGTACGTTGGCGGCGGTGGGTTTGTTGGTATAATGCGCGTCGTTTCTCTGCCTCCGCAAACTTCTCTGCCATTTCCAGACGCAGTCGAGCTTGTTCGGCAGCTTTCTTCTCCCGCTGATCCTCGGCCTTCTTTTTGGCCCGTTTGACCTGATCCTCGCACTTGGCGGTGATATCGGCGAGCAGACGCTCCCGGGCCTGCTGGGCAGCCAACGCTCTCTCTTCGAATTGTAGATTTCTTGTAGCTGCTTTAGCCAGAGCGGCTCGCAGCCTCACTTTCTCCGCATGCAATGCACGATCCGCGAGTCGCGCCTTTCGGCTCTCCAAAATGGACGTGCGACGGAGGTGTTGAGCAATATGATCCGCACTTATCGAGCCATTCGAGGACCCGGTCGAATTATGGGAGTGCAAAGAGGAGACTGAGCTTCGTCGAGATGAGGCGGCGGAGGAACGGCGGGCCTTGCTGCTTTTGCGGTAGAACCGGGCTGCAATGTGTGGTGGGAGACTTAAGGGAAGAGTCGGCTCCTCAGAGAGCATCTCTACATCGATATCGCTCAAGGATTCGGGTGAAAGAGGTGTTGGACCAGCATCCGGAAGCTGGATCTCAATGTCGGAGTTGCGACGGATCATAGTACGGAGTGACGCGGGTGCGACGCGGAGCTGATAAAGCGAAGGGAGAATCGGCGGGGCAGTACTGATAAGAGATTTGGATGGCGGTTTTTCGCAGTTATTTCACTAGGTTATAGAATCCCAGTCGAGTGATCTCAAGTCTTTTAAAAAGAATAAAGGAGCAATCTAGAAAGGTTGAAATCAAGGAGTAAAAGACATGCACATCACTCGGCTGGGGGGGATCCGTGCCTCGTTCCTCGTTTCAGAATGGGAAATTTAGTAGGAAAAAAAGGAGACCAGATGGATCAGGTAAAGTGAAGTAGATGAATCAGCTCAAATAGCTAAATAAGCTAAATAGCTAACTCAAAAAGCACGACATGATGAAAACAGGAACGTTCTGATCGAACGTGGATCTTCTCGAAATGGAATCTCGTGGCTGCAAGCAGAAGCTGAGGTAAGCACGATAATCGATAAGCCCGAAGATCGATAATCTCTATTTATAGCTGCCAAGGTTGTACAATATAAATAGCTTCGGAGTTTTATTTGGGAAGACTCCTAACCTAAGTACATAAATTCTATTGAAGTGATCACCAAGTACACTACTGATCCCTTTTCGCCCAGCCATAGGTCTAGGCCTCGGATGCGTATACATCTCCACCAACCTCTATGTTGCGGAGTGTGCACCCACCAAGCTCCGCGGTAGCTTCGTTGGAACAGTATCCCAATTCGGCTACCAGCTGGGTACCCCGGTCGCCTTCTGGTCCGGCTATGGAATGTCCTTTCACAAATTGCCCTACAACATCCTCTGGAGTGTCTCCAATATAACGGGGGTCCGGATAATCCCGCGGCTGGGGAATCTGAAGGGACTTCCGAAAAACGTGAAGTCATGGCCAGCATGAACAGAGGATAAAAGACCCCGGTTGCTCATGTGGAGGATGCGGCTCAAGGTCACGCTTTCCAAGGACTGGTGAGGTCATCTGTTTGACTCGATCAGGTTGGTAAGTTGGTATAGACACCGAGACTACAGATGACCAATGAAGAAATTTAGTATAAGCCAAGTAAGATAGAAAGTTTCAATAGAATTGCTATCGTTGCGTCGTGATACCAGTGTACTTTGAAACCCAAAAAAGAAGTGAACGCTATGCTGCAGCGAAGCCGGCTGCTTGATGTAAGTAAAACCAACATCCCCAAGATGCGTTGGGTTGGCCTTTGCTTGGTTGACTGTGTCGAACCATGAATCATCGGATCAGAAGCACCTTTTGTAGTCACCACATGTGTAAGGGTACACAAAATGATGGGGCTATCATCTGAAATTTTGAATCGGCCTAGAAGAACCTTATCTGTTTCACGGTGTGCAGCCCAGTCAGAGATAAGCACCGGCGTATAGATGCTTCTGAGATCGAACCCCATGGACCAGGATGAGTAGGATTGTGGTCAGGGGTTGAACAGTGTTCATTGCTCGGTGTGTGATTTGAGCGGGGTTAATGGGTTGAAGGCAAAGATGGCTGTTGAGTCACACATTTCATGGGACCATAAATCAACCCACCAGTCATCTGGGTTCACACGTAAGGATCTGCATCGGCCTCATTGATGACCGAAAATTTGGATGTGATCTTGATCTTGATCTTCCTCTTCCTCCTCATCGTCGTCCTCGGTACCATGAGAACCATCCGATTCAGCCGCGTCAGAAGACTCACCGTCTTCTTCATCCCTAGCTTCCAATACGTTTTCAGTTGATTTTGTCTCACCGCCAAACAGTCCATAGCGGTATGTAAGCTTCTTGCTCAAGAAATTCAATGCACCATAGTCCTCATTCTCGCCACGAGATGGACCCCCAAAGAAGGGTATAGATGAAGGTTTCTCTGATTCACGCTCAGTCGGTAGTCCAAAGTAGTTGCTGACAACGGGTGAGACAGCACGGCCTCGTGTGATGTTATAGGATGATAATCGTCTAGCGGGTTCGGGGGACACGGGGACACTGAGCTGTGAATGAGGAATCGATGTGTTATTAACATTCAATGTTGCCATGGAAGATGACATCGAGTCATCGTTTTCAATGAGCGAAGATGATCGAGGCCGAGGGCGGAGGTCTTCCCCGGCGTCTTCCTCCGGCTGAGAAGACATATCTCCGTGCAAAATGCGAAGTTGAGCCGTATTGTACGACTCACATCTGAATCCTATTAGCAGGCGTTGACCGTCTTTTTATCTCGAAGAGCACATACAAATCACATCTTAAGCCGAGCCAATGGTACTTGACAACTGACTTCGAACCGCAATCGTTGCAGTAAATGAGGCCTTTGGTATCCTTGAATTCGTCGGGCATAGGCTGGCTCTCGATGGTGCGATCCAGGTTTCGGAATGTCGATTCCATGTTGGTGATGGTCTTGCTGCAAAGGGGGCAACGGTAAGAACTTTTAGAGTACTCTGAGAGACACTTGTGGTGTATGCTGTGACCACATCGCATGACGACGACAGTTTCTGGAGAAGTGAACATGTAGTCGCCACATATGGGACAGTCACACTGAGTGGAGCGTTCAATGCAACGATGAGTGTTCTCAATACATATAGGAAGACAAACAGAGCATGTCTATAATGTTGTCAGTATCAGTATCGTCTATGTCATGTCGCAACCCCCTACCTGGCAGTGGAAGAAATCCTTCCCCAGTCCCTGTCCAATTCGACATATACCGCAGTCGCTGCAATGATAGATGCTCTTTTTGCTGTCGTTATCCCAGAGCTTGCAAATCTCGCAATAATACTGTGCAGTTTGCTCACTGCACTGCCTGCAGTTCTGCGCTGCAGGCTGTGCATGCCCACATAGCATACAAAGCATGTGCTCAGTGTCTCGACGAATGAGTGAGTGGTTTTCCACTTCGTCATGGCAGAAGCGGCAGGTATACCATTTTTTGCAAGCGTGACACTCAAGTTTTACATTGCGGTGATAGTGCACACATCCCAGAGTAATCTCTTCTTGTTCTTCCGTGTCATCGTCCTCGTCCCCATTTTCAAGTTCTGGTGTTTCTGTTTCTGCCTTGGGCACGAAAGTGGGCTGCAGATCTTCAGGTGTGAGATTGAAGGTGCTCTCGTACAGAAGAGCAGATTCGGAGTATGGCGAGCCTGGTCTAGAAGTATTGATCTCCGAGGCCCGGGGGATCTCTGGGCTTGTTGGCAGTCCTAAGCTTCGTGGACTCGATGGAGTTGAGAATACCCCCATGCCAGGGGTGCTTGAAAGCTCACGGGACGTGTTGTAACCTTCTGTCATGAGACCGTGAACCATTCGCGCCTTTTCAACATTGGTGAGCTGCAACTCCCTAATTGCGATGATCTTGCTTCTTAGAACTCCCATCCCATCATCCGCCGGAAGTAAAGAATGCGCCAACCCCTCAGGATCAAAGGCATTGCCCAAAGATCGTCGAGGCTCATCGATGGATATCGCTGAAGCTGCATGTTGTGGCTCATTATGCGAGTTCACCGCTTCGCTGGGATGTGAAGCTTGTGGATTCGATGAATTGTCCTGCACGGTGACGTCGATTTCATGTGTGGGATCAAATGAGCCGTCTGTCGTTGCAGCTATGTTTTGGATAGACCTGGGTGTGTTGTGGATCACTGATCGAGTGTCCTCCGGTTGCAAGTTTCGGCCATCCATCTCTTTGGGTAGAGTTGTGAAGAAAGGAAGGCTATGCAGGGACCCCGCACCCGCATCTCCGCAGTCCAATTTCTGTTCGTGATCTTGGCCCGGTTGAGAAACAAATTTATGGTCACTATCACTCGAGGGGTTTGTGGGTTCGTTCAGGTGGAATGTAGCTTGGTCGTCATTTGGTAGGCTGCTCGGTTGGGGTGGTAAGGGGGATCGTATTCCAATTTGGATCAGCAACGAGGAAATGAAACCACTCATGAAGGGCTGTAAACCGGCATCTCACTAAATTACTTTTAGATGCTTGAAATTGAAACCAAGCAAAATCAAACCCCAAACCTGGAGCTGAAACAGCAGACATCGTGACATGTGACGTCCACGGGCACCGCCTCCAATGCTGAATCATCGTCACATGCTCTGAGGCTGCAGCCTGAACCAGTTGCACGATTTTTAGTTGGACTCGGTTGGACATGGAAAATCAGCGAATATTGGGAAAGAGAATGGGCTATCATTTTGGTTTGGAATTTGCTCAGAGTATTCTAGGATGTAGTCTTTCTAATCAATGTTACCTTCCTTGCAGAGCCATTATTACGCCCAACAACCAACACTTTCAACCACTAAGTCTCAAATTTGGAGACGAGGATTGGCTCTACGACGTTGTACTGAATGCCAAGGCATGTGGAGTGCCATTGACATTATGTGTTGTACACCATAGGGTTGTCCGGAAATACAACACACGAGGCTGACCCAGAGGCAGGACGGGTCATGTGTCCTACGGAATCCTTGAGATATGTACCGATGTTCTAATCACGGCAATACCCGCCCGATATGTGCAAACACCCTTTTGGGCGAGTTGCCTCGCATCGATGTGGATTCATGCCCAAGGGAAGCACTGAGGCCTAACGGATGCACAATCTGGCGTAGCGGGTCGGATCAGCACCGAGGGAAAGGTCGAGAACTGCAGAGTTCGAATCATCTGAGACATGTCCCTAGACTCTCATTCAAACGGTCAAGTGTCAAATTGTAATGGTCAAAGGCGCTTGTCCGCAATTGGTTCTCTACATGACCAAGTCCCAGGGATCGTGGACTGAGGCCGAGTTAGCGGCTTTCTTCTCCACTTCTGCTAGGGGTTCACTCACACACGGGACTCTCTCACAAGGTGAGATTGTTCCCAATATCTAGCTAGCAGAAGGTTCTTCAAAATCTTGTGTTCCATGCCCGCAACCTCGGTGGCGCGTTCAAGAAAACGAAGGGTGTTGTTGATTTTGGCAGGATTAAACTCTTCGGAGGGGGAGGAACGATAGGATTGTCGCAAGGATTTTAGAAGCATATGGCGACCCGGCGTTGAATACTGAATCGCTTTCAACCCCTGTCGATAGAGGTGACGGTATGCGTGGACCATAGCTCGTCGATCCACCTTCATGGTCTGGATTGAAGCGTTCATGTCCGATCTATTGGACAAGTCTGAGCCAACGAATTTGGGGCATATGTGCAATCAAACGGAATCAGGTGGAATCAACGGAGATCCGAAGGGTTGAGTGCAAATGTTGGATTGGTATTGGAGGAAAGGAAGAGTAAAAGACGGTCAAAGTTGGGGAAAGGTTGTAGCCTCAGGCAGGACTAGCCCGATCGGGAGAGGTGACTTGGGCCGCAATAGCAATCTTATCAATCCCTCCTCTTGTCTCTCTCTTTCTTCCCCCATCTTCCTGCCGATATTCTCGTTCTTTCTTTTCTGTCTTCTCCTTGCTCTACTTGCTATTTGCTCTATTTGCTCTTGCTTGAGAGTTGACTCAAAGGGCTCATACGCCAAGGACGCTGTTTCCATTTCGGGCGACCGCGGGGTGCCTTTACTTCGTACTCTTTGCGTTGCTGTGATGCACTAGGCGTGACTTTGCCCTGACTTCACCAAACACCCTTCACTCTGGCCCATACCAGGAGATACATATCATCTACCCGTTCATATCATACGTCTGATACATATCTTAAATGATGTGCTAAAATCTTCATCTTCGCGAGGTTCTGCGATAAGCTGAACCAGAAGTATGGCCCGTGTCATAAGGAGGGCTGCATCAGCCTCGGTTAGGCATGGTCCTGGCCGGGCTATCCAAAGGAGAGCGAGAAGGCACAAAGTCATTATGGAATCCGTGACCCAAGAAAAGAAAAAGCTTCGGAGTGTGGTATGTATATTCTCTAATTTAGCTTGGCCAAGTGATTAACAACAACATACAGATCTGCTTTGAAGCCCAAGCACCAAGCGGTTACACCTTCATTCCTGCAGGAAACCCGCAACTCACTACAACTTGTAAGGAGCGGTGTCGGGAAGAGGGTCTCCAAATCCATGCAGTATCGGTAAAAGAACCCTACCTGGTTCCTAATGATCATCACTGCTTATTTTTTTTTTTCTAGACTACCCCACACCATCGCCATCATAACCTTTCCCAGCATGTTCATCGGATAGGATATCATTTTCCTAGTACTGTCGTGGCAGCCGTTTGCTCAGAGCTGGGGTTCTACCTCACAAGTACTGGTAAAACAGTGCCTAGCACCTTTCCCACAGACAGGATACAGAATCCTGAGCAGGCTGATTCTGAAATTTCTCAAATAACCCTCAACACAGAAGCACGGGACGCCTTAAAGGATCTTTTCCCGAACATACCAGACAAAGATTTGAATCAGATCATCAAGACCGCTTTTCAAAAGGTACGTATATAACCCCGTCTTGATCTGAGAAATGAGGACGTGGAAGACCTGATATCCGAAAAAGGGTCAGAAAAAAGTTGGGACAGCCACCGAATTGCCTTTGGCCCGCAGAGCCCAACTTGCTGTGGTTGCTCACGTTCGACATGTCTACACTGACTACGATCGCCTTTTAAAAACCACATCATTCCATGAAGCCAGGGGGTTGTTGAACACACAACTCTAGCAAAAGTCATTGAGTGGCGAGGGGACGATGAGAATGGCCAAACAGTGCTGGAAGATGTTTTCCGCGAGGTAATCGTTATCTCAGACGATGAAGACAGTGAATCGGAAGAAGATGCGGCTGCTTCAGCAGGGCATCAAAACACCAGTGTGGAAATACTTCCAAGCGATACTCGGGCCCACGAGATCCGGTATCCACCTATCAACAACACGAGCCCTCTTGGCCGGGATCTTCCACGGGAACTATCCGAGGAAGCGCCGCCTGGGTTCCGATTTGTCACAAGAGCCCCCGCCACAGACACTATCAACCGTCGTGGATTTAACAGGTACAAAGCATGGACTCGCGCTGTCAAGGAATATAGAGAGGGTATACAGGGCGTTGAACAACCTAGGTTTTCTGTTGCCCCAGCTGAAAAGCAAAGCCCACGATATGCCGAGCAGCGCATTACTGCTCAGGAAGGACCCGCTGCTAGGCGCCAGGATATAGTTCCCCAGCACGCCGAGGTTCATCGGCGAGTCGCTCCAGGCTCAGCCAATAATGATAACCAAGCACATCGAGTGCCCGCTATTCCACTAATGGATCGACAGGTGGCCAAGAGACATGTAGGTGTCCAGGAGAACTATCCTCCTTTGGACGCTCAACAAAAATACTCCACCCATGAACTGAACGCCAGGCCAACTGGACTAACTAATCAGGAATCACCCGAGTTGCAAATCCTAGAAGAACTCTCAGGACCTAGAATTGGGAACATGACCCACTCGCAGGATGTTCCTCCCCCCCAGGATGGAGCCCAGATTTCGACAGGAAAGACTGCCTCCTCAGTCGGACAGGACCAACGCACCTGTGTTTGTGAGCGGACCAAAGGAAAATCGGCAGAAATTGACCCCAGTGGGACGCCGCACTGACTCCGTCACTTCCCCTCTTATGAGACCAGGTTCCAACACACAGGATTCTATCTTGCCCTCGATTGAAAATTCCCGACCATCGGAATGCCGGCGGACTGACGGTGCGCATCCTTTGGTCCATATGACCAACAAAATGTCCCTCCGATCAGTCACACCGGGGCGCCCTAAAGGAGAGATGATGCACCACCCCGATGGTATCGAAAAGGAAGGTGACAGCGAACACCCGGCCAAAAGAAGGCGTTTAGCACATCGTGAAGGTTCTCGGACTGATCCCCGTCCAGACCCGTGGAGTGGGAGGCCTATGGGGCTTCCTGTTTCCGAAGGATTCGGGCCACATTCTTATCGTCGCGTTGAGCTTGTCACAGACCATCGACTCCAGGACCAGTCTCATTTCCGTCGGGATTATCAGCCAGTGGAGCCACCCCCTGTTGTAGGACACCAGCGGGAAAGGAACGCGAACTTGGTCTCTTGTTCCAACGTACAGCATGGCCTAGAAACAAGGTCAGTCTTGGGTCGACAGCCCATTGGCGGGCCGCACGAGCCTCAATCCCAGGCCGGGCTTTCCAACAACAGTGCCATTATCTCGGAAGGGGATCGCACCTTTAGAGCGGCTCCAGCCGTTTCTAATTCTGGACCGTGGTATCCTTACCACGGTGATCGTAGTCTCCGTTCAGATCGTGTTCCGAAAGACTCGCGGACAATTCGGCACACCGGCATTGATGGTGGCCGCCCTTTACGAGAGAATGTTCCCCCAGACAGAAACCTATATGCCGAGGACTTTGTCCGGCACGTTGACTACCGTGAGCCCCTTCCATATGAATACGTCTCCAGGCGAACAGAACCCGAAGCCAAGCCCATTGGAGACCCTTCCCCGTCCACCCGGACCAGAAAGCTTGATTACATTGGTACAAAGAATCTGTCTCAGACCCAGGTTTTGTCTGATAAACGTGGGCCATTGCCCATAGGACCGCGAGTGGCTCCTTCCCATGACCACCTTCGCACCTTTTCAGACTCTGTCATAGGAAAAACCCAGCCTCACGTGCCCCCCCTCAGGTCCCTCGTGAAAGACCAGCTAGTGGCGGGTTCAACTCCTCGCGGTAAGCCTTCATTGGGGGAAACCAACCAGTTCAACAACACAACTTTTTCCCCTATGCCTCGAGAAGTTCCTAACTAACGCAGATACAGACCACCCTACAGTTATCCTCCCTCATCCCACACTATGGAACAAGATCGTCCAGTCTACGTTCAAAGGGTTGAACCACGATCACCCTACTATTCCATCCTTGATGGAAGACACGTTGTTGTTGTTGATTAATTAATTCCCACCTTCTATCATATTCCCCTTTTGTTGCGAGATATTTTGTATTCGCATTGCATTGCATTGTTGTTCATGATACCCTTGCGCATATTCTTAGAAACTCTCTCATCATGGGTCTCAATACCAATTTGAATCGGGAACTACGGTTCCCCCATTTTATATCTATTTCATTATATCATCGTATCTCATCAGGGGTCATTTAGTCATGGGAATTCCAGAACAACCTTGGAACCTTCCACAGGTTGGAATGCATGCTGTTGGTATGTTTCTGCCTAGCACTGTCTAGCAGTCCAGTCTAGTCTTGGGTTGGCTAAGCTCGTTGGAGTTGACTTCCAGGTCTCATGCAAAAAGAAGAAAAAAAGGGTATATAAGACCGGAAACATCATGAGCATAAGAGAGGATTTAAACCCCCTTGCTCTCCCCATCCGCCTCTCCGCTGTTCACAGTCTTGCCAGTCTTCTTAATCTTCTCCAGCACATCATCGTAGGAAAGAGTAGGCTCGGTGGTCACATTGACCGTCTGGGACTCGAGGCTGACATCGAAGGTCTTGACGCCTAAAGACCAGCGTGTTAGGATCAAAAGGCGATGAAACAGGCCGCGTGTTGCTTACCTTCTAGCTTTTTGAGGACACGCTCCACGGCGCCAGAGCATCCGCCGCAGGTCATAGTCACATTGAACTTGTACTGGTGGTCAGACATGGTGGGAAATTGATTTGTGTTGGTGCGGGGTGTTTGTTGTTTGAGAGGAGGGGAAGATGATGCTTGGCGGATAACACAGTGGACTTTTTGAGGTTGTTTCAGATAAATAACCAAAGGAGAAATAGTTGAAGAGAAAGAGAGAAAGGAAGATTATATATACGTATATTTATATATATTTACTCTTCCATCTATCTATATACTCCGAATATTCTCCCTGGTATTCTGGATTTGTCATACAAGGTTCATCCCTTGGTGAATGAGCCATATTCGCCATTGGTTGACGAATATCTTTTATAGCAAGATGATAGATATACTAGGTATGGAATATGTATATTTATTATGGAATTATTGGATATATAAGCCATTTCTAAAATCCAGCGGCTCTCTTCTTCTTCTTTTTCGGTTTCTTGAGTGCGCGAGTTCCAAAAGCTCCCCGCTCCATCTGGGTCATCGGCATACTATCCGGCTGACTACTGTTGATGTTGATTCGGGGAGGTGCAAGGGGCTGACTGCCCCATGTTCGGACCATAGGGACTGTCGGAGTCGAAGGGAGGGATTGTTCACGAGTCTGAGAGCGCTTCTTCCGTCTATTCTTGGATGTGCGCGCCTTGGAATTCCGCGTCTCCTCGTCTTCGATCTTGTCCCATGTATAGTGTTGGGGATTGGTCCCCACTGGCCAGTGGGAGAGGAGGTTTGCTACCTTCCGTGGTGTTGGACGTGGGGTTTTGAATTTTATGAATGCTGAGAGGCCACCCAGGACTGGGACTGCAGTGTACTTGGATTGCTCGATTGGTGTTGTGTCCCGTCGGGATCCAAAGGTTCGGCTTTTGGCCATTGATGACTGGCTTGCAGGGGACTTTGATGATAAAAATGCGAAGTAGCTCGATTGGTATTTGTTTTGTGCCGCGGCCTTCTCATTTGCCTTTTGAATTGCGAGGTCATCGGCCGGATCTGGGGGCCTGGATAGTAGGATGCTATCCAACGAGTTGGAAATTTTGATTAGGCGTGAAAGGATGAGATCGGCAGCAACTCCCCGAATGACTTTCTCTTTCATGAGTCGTGTCTGCACGGGGATGGTACGAGGCAGGGTAGACATCCAATCATCGATCATTCGATCATATGTAGTTAGAAGATCCCTGTCTGTTTCGGCTGACAATCGGGCCGGCATGCCATACCTCCCGTTTGAGGATGGGACTGGCAGAAGCATGTACCGACAGTGAGCGTCAGGGTCCCCGTATTTGGGCACCAGTGCTGAGACGAGTCGCTTCACCTCATCTGCACTTTCATCAAGACCCTCAGGCAAAATCCTCTTCCCGGTCAATTCAACTATCGTCCTGCCTGGAGGTCGCTTCGACCCATTCGCCATTTCGCCTTGTAGAACTGCCATCAACCCATCCAATGTCCTTGGTTTGGGTCTTCGCCTCTTATTTTGCTTTTTTTTACGAATTTCCATCATCCCTGTCGCTATTTTGTAGACGCCAGATAAATCCAACGTCCACTGCAAGTCCGACTTTGTATCGATGCGGCCCATTTTCGGCTTGCAACGACGAACAATTGTTTTCTTTGTCGCTGATTCATCCCAATCATCCACAATAAAGTCGTCGGTGGGTCTGGTGTAGGATGTCGGAGCATAACGCCTTCTTAACCGCAAGACACTACTTTGACGAAACAAGTCCGGCTCGTCTGGATCTCCGCGTGGACCTTTGAAAGTAGATTCGTGAACGGCAAAATCGGAATCCATCCAGAAAAGCTTGATCAGTGGCAAGTGGGCATTATAGAAATTCCTACCCTGTGGTGCAACAGAGTGGGCAATCTCTTTAAATACAAGCTTCGAGAATCGTACAACAGAGTCACGTTGAGTTGGCGGTATCTCGTCCAACAGGGGCACATCTAGCACCAGGGGATCAGGTACAGATATGAACTCTGTCTCCTCGTCGGATACAAAGGGACATGGAAATGCCTGTACCAGCCGAGTGATCTGCGAATACAGAACGAGATATACATCTAGATGATAATTTAGTATTTGAATTCCATGTTCAGTCGCACTAGCACATACCTTGGTATACGACTATGTCACTAAGTCGCAAAGTTGTGTCTTCGGGGTCTCGAAAGTGTCTCCAGGAAACTTGAGGGTATAGAGAAAGATTTGTGTCATCATCACCTGGTAGCACTCCGAGATCAAACCATGATATCCGAGTTGTCGTCAGGACGAAAAACTGTGATGGCTTGCGTGGGTTTCTTTGAACATCTAGAACCCACTCAGATTGCTTTTCCATTCCCAACTCAACCGTGCGTGGTGGAATCTGGTTGTCTGTGAAGGCATAGATCATGACACTGTGACGATTGGAGACAATTACCGATCCAACATTATGGACCCACACGATAGATGCCCAGCCATCAAGGCGAGGGCAACTATGTTTGCGTTTATAATCCCGCGTGGGCAGTGAGCCTGATTTGACGAACTCGACAGCCCAATTGGACTGCTGAAGTCGTTGCCTGCCGGTGATCTCCCAGACACTCCACTTGCCTCTGGTATCTACAATAGCGAATTGTCTCTGATACCAGGGGTTGAAGGTCACATCGGCATGTGAGAAGCCACCTGTTCGCGACACAGGTATCTCCGCGATAGGGTTCGCATCCAGCCGAGAATTTTTCAAAGGCGCGGAGGATCCCGGTATAGCATCTTCCGGGACGTGCATAGGCACAGGATCCCAGTGGTAAAGAGGTCGGAATATTGTAGTCCTTGTGGGGAGACGAGCAGCCATGAACATGGGTGTCTCCTCCAAGGGACGTGCAAAGTGTACTTGACGTACCGGTGCGCCAGAATTGGACCATTCAGACATTTCAATGTTGCTGATTGATGGAGCACGAAATGCCAACTTCTGTGGACAGCTCAACTCCAAAATTTCCTCTTCCAGCGTTCGGAATGAGATTATATTACGAGATTCCCCGGTAACAGCCACCGCAATTGGAACTGAGCGCAGCCTTTTGTCATGACGCCTTTGGTCCACAGCATATCCGAGATCGAAGACCTCAGAGATCTCCGGGTCATATTTCTCGGTTATAGATGTCACAGTTTTCGACAAAGGTTCAGCGCGAATTGAGGACCATGATGCCGCCAAATCAGGATGCGCGCTTGTGATCACCTTCCTGGGGTTTTTCTCAGCTTCTCTCTGTGTTGGTCGAGCTTGCGGGGGGCGGAAAGGCGATGGGATTGTTGTCTTGGTCACACCAGCATACTTGATCGACGGGGCTTGCGAATATGTTAGTTGGTTTCTGAGAAAGGAGGATCTAATACCTACGCCTAGCAAAGGAGCGAGTAAATATCCAGTCCTGCTCCTCAGGAAGGTAGACAGCTCGTCCTACGTGCCCATAGTGGAGAGCACTGCCTGAATGTTCATCCATCGGATCTTTCTTTGCTTCTTGCGATCAGTTCAGGACCTGGCCAAACCATGTCGATACTGGTGCAACGGTAAGAGTCCACTTGGTCATATAAATATGCGCATAATGTGAGGATATTGCAATAAGAGAAAGCCTGGAGCACCGGAAAGTTTTTTGGTTCTTATCGATAAGAAGTCGGAGTTGTTGCGCCGCAACCCAAAATAACTCTTTGTCCCCGCGTCAACTTCAACTTGCACCATTCAACACTCAACACTCACAATTGAATTCTCAGACACTATGACTTCTTCATTCGAACCGTCACTCTCGACAAGTGGCATGCGCCCACCGCTCGCCTCGGCGGATGCGCCATCAATGGCAGACTCATTGCCCAGCATCAACTTTGGGTTTGAGGACCTGCGCAATACCATGGCGCAATTCACAGTGAAGTTCGACGCGTTTATTGAGCGCGGTCGCAAACGAGTTTTGGAGGAACGAAACCAGTTCCATATAAATCTGGCTGAATATGAAGGTATGAGTTTGATAGTACTGAAACCCACAGGTTCCCTGTGCTAACACAACCTGCCAGAGGACCAGCGCATGCGACAGCGCGATATCGAAATTCTCAATCTCAAATCACAAACTCATGAACAAACCCTCCAAAAGGAAGCGGCTGAGGCTGCTGAAATGCACGCGGCTATCTCATCTATTACCTTGGAACGCGATTCCCGCCTTGCTAAACGCGACCGCCTGAAGCAACAAATCACCGAGACTCAGAAAGCTATCAGTCAAAAAGTCGAGGCACAAAAAGCTCACGCACAGCATTTAGATGCGCAATCTCGTCTCAATTTCCCGGAGTTGGAGTTTTGGCAGGATTACCTTTGTATTCGAATTGAAGGCGCCGGTCGTGAGGACCGGTTGAAGTTTGTCTACACCCATCTATTGGAGAAGGACTGGGAGGCGGAAGCTTGGTTTGAATTGGGCACCGCCAGTCGCGACTACGAAGTTTTCCATACACGCCCCAAACTTGACCGGGATAGTTTGGAGCATGTGGTAGATCTCGTCAACGATGACCGAGACTTCGGGGCGTTCCTGAAACGGATGCGCAAGTTGTTTGTTGAAGCGATGAACTAAAGACAATTACAAGGCCATTTGGGTTATTGTTATTGTTCCGATACGAATTCATGATTTTTATGCATAGTTCAGTAAAGTTTCCTAGGTTCCATTGAAATCGTCATGCAGTTGCAAGGTCATTTCTGCAATACCCTATTTCCAGCCACTCCTTTTACCCAGTAGCCTCGCGGTAGAATGCAATGCTACGGTTTGCGCCGGCGGTGGCAAACCCTTCTGTCTTGCCGACCTTGGGAAGCCATTTTGCGCTCCAAACGGCTTTATCTGTTTCTGAGTGGGTGGCAACACAGGTCTTTGTCTCCATGGACCAAACCTTGACCTTGCCGTCAAACGAACTTGGAAATGTTAGCTTGGCGTCATATGAATGCATGGAATATTAACTGACCTGCTTAGAAGGTACTCGCCAGTATCGCTCCAGGAAAGAGACAAGATCCAGGCAGAGTGCCCTGAGAGATTGGCGATTTGTTCGCCGGAGGAAGTATCATACAGCA